CAAATCAAACTACCTTCAGAAATAACTCTACATGATTATAATGTCATGGTAAAATGGAACTCAAGGGGAGGCACTTCAACCATAGAAAAAACATGCAAGAAACTCAATTTTTGTGAAACTCTGGAATGTTGGTTTTGTTCTTCTATCCTTTTCAATCCGGAATGTTGGCCAGTAGGTGCAATGATAATATTTGCACTTCTCCTCTACGGACTGATTGTCCTCGTATACTTCGCCTATCACTTAACAATGATGCTCTTCAAGCCCCTGTACTTGCTTATTCGAGGAATGCACCTCATCATGACCTTCGCAATTCGATCACTAGGGTGCACCATTAACAGTGCCCTTCCAAGACTTGGTCAAAAACCTAAGATCACGGACCGTATTTCCGCAGCGCTCGCAATAGTAACTCTGCTCGGGACTAACATTAGCTATATTTATGCATGCCAACACGTCAACATCCTAGAATATCGTTCTACTATCTGCACCTTCAACAATGAAAGGGAAACATGCTCTGTGACTCTTTCAGAGATACTGAAAATCAACACTCTAAAACAAGAAGCTTGTTTGCGCCTAACAAAGAACTCCACCTCAATCGCTAATATCAAAATAAAATGGAAAGGATTATATCTGCATTGTGACCGCGAAACATTGTACGCTACTCGCACGGTTCAGTTGAAGGTCCATGATAGCAAACGCTGCGCACACATGGGGTCTTGCACAGGAGGCAAATGTGCTCAAATCAACAGCTCAAGCTTAATTCCAGAGCTAGAACCAGCGAATCATTATCCAGGAAGAACGGGCTGCTTTGAATCTTGCGGTGGACCAGGGTGTGATTGCTTTTATCTCAGCTCCGGTTGCCTATTCTACAGGATTTACGCTGTACCACAACATTCAAAAATATACGAATTATTTCGATGCATGCGATGGACAGAAGAAATCAAACTTGAGGTTACCGTCGAAAATATCATCTCAAGCACCCGCATACGATATGTCGTTCCCGCCTCTCCGAACTTGCCGGTATATACTCCACCTTTGCATATTACAATGACTTCTGTTACGCTACCACCAACACCTTCACTGGCAACAAAGTTTATTACAGATGGTATAGACACAGCTATATGGGACGACGACTCAGAACTTCCGCTTCACTGTCAAACCCGATCAAAAGCCAGGAACCTCAATTGTACTCTCCAGGAAAACTGTAAATGCGCTCCAGCGGAATCAACTGTCAACTGCGAATGTGAAGAGACAGACATTGACGATAAGTTTCATCAAATCGATAAGAAGTTGCCCGTGAAAACCGCATCATGGGAACTCAGACAGAAGAAAAATTCAGTATCCGCCAAAATCTCTCATATGGTCACCGCCGAATTCATCATCGAACTGAACAACACTTACGACATGGCAGTACTGGAAGTTACAAATCGAGAATGTTTCGTAGAAAGTACCTCAACACTCGAAGGGTGTTACAACTGTCGTAAAGGAGCCGTAGCCAAAATACAGTGCTATTCAGAAAAGAAAACCCTTGGAGAGGTTTTTTGCGCAAATAACGCCTTTGTAATACCATGCGGGCCACAAAAACAAGAATCAACACTACAGTTTCATTTCAACACTGCAAAACAAAAGATAGATTGCAAGGTTTCTTGTGGAAAATCGGAAAGTAGCTTTACACTAAGTGGCACTTTGAAATACATCAGCGCATATCAAGATCCACTCTCAGCTACTCTAGACAAAGAGAGTTCTGTTTTCAATGAAATTACATTACCTGATTTACTACATATAAAAGATGTTTTTCTTGGCTACTATAAAAGTCTAATTATGATACTATCCATAACAGCGCTCGCACTTCTTCTTTCTTACATATTTTTAAACACATTCGGATGGTACTTCGCTCGCAAACTTTTACGACTTTTATGGGCCTTGTGTCGCCTTCCGATACGCGCTATTTTTGCGATAAACCACGCATTCAAAAACCAAGGCACTGTAACATCAGGAAAGAAAGAC